AAGGCAAAGGGAAGGAAAAAAGAAAAAGGATGGGTGGAAGGAAAAGGGAAGGGAAAGGAAAGAGGGAAGGAAGGGAGATAAAGAGTGAAAGGAAAAGGAGAAAAGGAAAGGGAGAAAAAGGAAGAAAAAGGAAGGAGAGTGGCAGGGAAAGAGAAGGAAAAGATCCTCACAAAGCATTAGGTTAAAAAAAAAAAGGATTCCTCCTGCTAAAATTCACTGTAGAGGAAGAAGGGAAAGAGGAAAGAGGAAAGAAATAGGAAATGAAAAGCAGAGGGAGGGGAAGGATGGAAGAAAGTAAGGAAGCGGAGTGGAGGGAGGGAGGAAAGGCAGAAGGAGTGAAATGGAAGAAAGGAAAGGAAAAAGGGAGGCAAGAGTAAGAGGAAAGGAAAGGCAGGGGAAGGGAAGGAAGGAAAGAGGGGGAGAAAAGGAAGAAAGGAAAGGGAAAAGGAAAAGGAAAGGAGAAAGAGAAAGAGAGAGGAAAGAAAGGCAGAAGGGGAAGGGAAGGAAGAAGGGAAAAGGAAGAAAAGATGGGGAAAGGGTGAAAGGAAACGAGGGAAAAAAAGAAGGGAGAGAGGGAAAGGAAAAGGCAATAAGGAAAGGAGGAAAACAGAAAGGAAAGGGGAAGGGGAAGGAAAACTCCTCACTATGCATTACCCTTATCTTAAAAACAGAAACAAACAGGCATCCTTGAGAACGTTTTACATTTAAGCTCCCGAATGAAAGATTCGATCGAGAATCGGAAGGCTCTCTGTTCCACATCACACCAACGAAAACGTCACAAGACCGTGCAATAAAGGGGACAGGGTTCACAACCAGCAAGCCACACAAACCAACACCGTAGGCAGAAAATAAAAAAATCTGTTGGGAGAAGAGACGTGCACAGGTTTTGTCAACGGGTGGCGGGGGGAGGAGGAGGGGTTGTGTGTGTGTGTGTGCTATAAATACAATCTGACAATTCACCAGACTTCTTGACAGCTGCAAAAATCCAATTCTGCCTTTCGTTAAATTTAGGGCGGCTTTTTCACGCCTGCAGCCGGGTATAAAAGATTCGGCAGCGAGCTGAGAACTCGTGTCTTTCAGGTGTTCAAAGCCCTCGTGCGTAGAGAAACGGCTAAGGCAGGCAGTCCTCGACTTACGACCCACAACCGAGACCCCGAAATATCTGTTGCTGAGCATGGAACGTGTTTGTTAAGTGACTCTTGCCCCCATTTTATGACCTGTCTCGCCGTGGTTACTAAGTGAATCATTGCCGTTAAATCAAAGGGGATCATGGAACCTCGGGATGCTGCAACTGTCATAAATATGAGTCAGTTGACAAGACATCTGAATTTGGGTCATGTGACCGCAAGGATGTTGCAACGGTCGTAAGGGTGTAAGTCACTTGGTTTCCGGGCCGTTGTAAGTTCAAACAGGAAGTAAGTGAACTGTTGTAAATCTACAATATCCAATTGTCCAATTTGTCAATCTCAAGACCTATGGACTTCAACCCCCAGAATTTGTCCATATCCAATTTGTCAATTTCCAACCTGTCAATTTCCAACCTGTCAATTTCAAGACCTATGGACTTCATAGGTCTTCCTATGATATCCGATTTGTCAATTTCATGACCTATGGCCTTCAACCCCCAGAATTTGTCCATATCCAATTTGTCAATTTCCAATTTGTCAATTTCCAATCTGTCAATTTCCAATCTGTCAATTTCAAGACCTATGGACTTCATAGGTCTTCCTATGATATTCGATTTGTCAATTTCATGACCTATGGCCTTCAACCCCCAGAATTTGTCCATATCCAATTTGTCAATTTCCAATTTGTCAATTTCCAATTTATCAGTTTCAAGAATTACGGAATTCTGGGAGTTGAAGTCCACAAGGCTTAAAGTTGCCAAGGCTAGTCTCCCCTGGTCGTCTATATCTTGGAGAGCGAAGGAACGAAAAAAAAACCATTTTAGGAGTGTGTGTAAAGTTGTGAAGTTTGCTTTCACAGCTAACCCTGAGCTTTTAGGCACACACACACACACACAATCGAGGTTTAATTCTTTCCCATAAAGTAGGGATGACAGTCAACCTTTCTTAGGAGGGCTGTTAGGAAGACAAATGCCACAAAACCTGGATTGTCCCAAACCGCAGCGCAGAATCGAGCTGCCCCAGAGTCACTTCGAGCGCGAGATGGGTGGCGTGCGAATTGAAAAAATCAATAAAATGAAATCTCCTGGGTTTTGCCAAGCGTGAGATGACCAACCCAAGAAGGAAACCAACACCTTGGTCTCACCTCTGAGAAGTAAAAAAGGGCCGATTCACAGAAGAGGATATCGGCCAGGTAGACCGTCCCGCTGGTCAGCACCTCGATCTGGTATTTGCAGAAGTGATGGCTTCGCAGGAATTCGCTAAAGTGCCTGCAAGAGAAGAAAAGGAGGTCATTCCCCACTCCCTTCTAGCACTGATAACGTTACCTAGCTGGGTCATAAAATGTCTGCAAGGAAACAACCACTCTGAGAGAGCACCAAGGCCTTCACAATCCTCCTTCTCCTCCATTACACAACCCCACTCCCCTCTAGCACTGATGATGTTCCCTAGTTGGGTCATGAAATGTATGCAAGGAAACCACCAAGCTCAGAGGGTACCAAGGACCTCACAGTTCTCCTCTTCCTCCTCCTGCTCCTCCTTTCCTCGAACCCACCCCTTTTCAGATTTAAGGATGTTCCTAGTGACAGATTTTTATTTTCCTGGGCTCCAAGATCACCGCAGATGGGGACTGCAGCCAAGAAATTAAAAGATGCTTGCTCCTTAGGGAGGAAATTTATGGCAAATCTAGACAGCATACTAAAAAGCAGAGACATCCCCCTGCCAACAAAAGTGCGTAGAGTCAAGGCTATGGTTTTTCCCAACATAAGGAAGGCTGAGCACCAAAGAATGGAGGCCTTGGAACTCTGGTGCTGGAGAAGACACCCTTGGACTGCAAGGCGATCCAACCGGTCAGTTCTAGAGGAGATCAACCCTGGCTGCTCTTTAGAAGGCCAGATCCTGAAGAGGAAACTCAAAGACTTTGGCCACCTCAAAAGAAGAAGAAGGGGACGGCAGAGAAGGAGGGGCTTTATAGAGTCACTGAAGCAGTCGGTGTGAGCTTAAACAACTTTGGAGGATGGTAGAGGACAGGAAGGGCCTGGAGGAACGTTGTCCATGGGGTCGCGATGGGTTGGACATGACTTCGCAATTAACAACAACAAAGCTGAGTCATGAAAACACCTGCAAGACAGCCACCGAGCTCAGAGAGCACCAAGGAGCCCTCAAGTCAAAACTAGGAACGGGAGCGCACAAGGTTTAACCTGGCTGAAATAACAGCGCCGACTTACTCTTGCTCCATGGCGTTAAACACCACGGACTGTGCCATGACGAAGCAGTTGGGGTCCACCTGTCCGTCCTCCCCGCAGATCTTGGCTGAAAGTAGAAACCACAAGAAATTCCCGTTAAGTGTCAGCGTTGACGGCAAAGGAAAAGACAGAAGGGAGATAACAGTGCAGGGTTTGAAACCAGGGAGGAGGCCAGGGTGTGTCTCCTTCCAGCCAAAGGACCGGTTCGGACCGGTTCTGACACACCGGTAGTGGAAATTTTGACTAGTTCGGAGAACCGGCAAATTCCACCTCTGATTGGCCCTGCCCACCTGCCCCCTGCCATTACCTCTCTTATAGTCCCTTTGTCGCTTGTATCCTTACAATTTATATGGACTGTTTCCTAGTATGATTTGATTGCTTATTGTACCCTATGACTATCATTAAGTGTTGTACCTGATGATTTTTGACTCTTGACGAATGTATCTTTTCTTTTATGTATACTGAGAGCATTTGCACCAAGACAAATTCCTTGGGTGTCCAATCACACTTGGCCAATAAAGAATTCTATTGTATTGTATTGTATTGTATTCTACTCTACTCTATTTTTATTCTATTCTATTCTTTATCCTACTCTCTATCCCGTTCCATCCCATTCAATTTAAATTCTATTCCTATATCCATTCTATTCTATTGTACCCTATGACTATTATTAAGTGTTGTACCTGATGATTTTTGACTCTTGATAGATGTATCTTTTCTTTTATGTACATGAGAGCTCATGGACCAAGACAAATTCCTTGTGTGTCCAATCACATTTGGCCAATAAAAGAATTCTATTCTATTCTATTCTATTCTATTCTATTCTATTCTATTCTATTCTATTCTA